CCGAGTCTGGACGAACCCCGACTCTGCCCCTTCCAGAAAGGAACTTCACCAGGGACACCCAACAATTGGCACAACTCTTAAAATTTGGCATAGGCTTAGACAAACTCTGGCCCTTTCTCCAATCCCATCCCCACAATACCCAATTACACATAATCCTCACTTCCAACGAGGGAGCTCAGGCAAATCGTTCGAGCTCTATCACAAAAGCTCGATACTAAAACTGAGTGACGTGGTCCAGGATGGTGGGGTTAAAACTTTGAACCACATCTTACAGACTGACGCCCCGACAGTATTACAACGACTACATTACCACCAACTGACACACTTTATCAAGACGCACAACCTACTACCCGGAGGAGACAGGCCCTTGACAAAGTTCGAACAGTTGTGCTCCACTCACCCGGTCTCTAAGAAAGTTTTATCTGCTATGTACACACTAATCAGGGAATCACAAGCACCTAACCTCCCAAACTTTACAACTAAATGGTCAGAGGAACTCAGAATAGAGTTTACACATCCACAGTGGCAATCCATCCTTAAAGCGACACATAAGACCACTATATCGTTGACAGCACAAGAGAGTAATTTCAAACGCATAACACGCTGGCACTATACTCCGGCGAGAATCCGCACGATCCATGACACGTCCACAGACAAATGTTGGAGATGCGAGCAACCAGGAGCACACCATGCCCACATATGGTGGCAATGCCCGCAAATAGCGAAATTCTGGGACAGAATTCACAAGGTCATTCTCAGCATTTTTCAGGCTAACTTTCCTTTAGCGCCAGACCAATACATCTTTCTATTACCCCCCCAGGGTCTATCAAAACCACATACAGCACTATTCTTTCATCTGGCCATGGCGGCGCAACTGGTTCCTAAATATTGGAAGCAGCCTACCACTCCCTCCCTTAGGGAATGGATCCAAAGGGTGGAGGACACGAAACAATTAGAAGGAACAGTGCAAGCTAAAATAGGGAACTACGCGAAATACACCAAAACCTGGGCTCCGTGGAATGCGTTCATGACACTAGAGTCACAATAGACAATACACCGTAATCTCCCCATGACAGGGGATGGGAGGTGGGGGGAGAGAGGCACCGGGGGGGACCGTGGGCGCCCGGGTGCGCAGTGGGAACCGAGAACTGACCTGGACGAATCTAGGTGACTACGTAGGAGTGACAAGGGGGATCTCCCAGGAATCAAGGACACTAAATACGACGCTGTCGGCTTGTAGTGCAGCGGGGGATGAGAAAGAAACTGAAACCCCCTCAAGGCTACACTAACAAACCTAAACGCCCTATAGAATCGAGAAACACTCCACTGTTATTACCTAGGCCCATACTGAATACCACGGTGTTCTGACATCTACACCCTAACTTAGGTCAGCCTATCCAACCTGACTCCCGGACGCCCATACCTCCATGGCCCAACGTCCTGTGACTCACTATGTGACTATTTTGTATCGTATGATACTATCAACTACCAAAATTAACTCCTACTGTTGCATTTACATTGTTTATTGTACCACACATTGCATACACTTTATTCGACATCACGGTCACTTTGCAAATCCTGCATGACATAGATGTACTATTAAGACATATGGCGGATTCAATGTATGCTATACAAAGTCAACAAATACCCCCGAATGCCTAATGTAACAAGTGATTAATATCTTCCTCCCCATTATAACTGTGTATCACCTATGCAACTTGCTGTACTTTATGTTGCTGTATGTTACTATTATATGAAAACACTTTGAATTATATCAATGCTGTGTAAAGATGACATCTAACTTCGTTGTACGCTATAAACACTCTGTTTGCAAAGAAAGAAAACAATAAAAATTAAAATTCAAAAAAAAAAAAAAAAGAAATATGAACATACTCAAAAATCATGCAAATCCTTCCATGAGTTCAAAAGTTAGTCAGAAGTTCTTTGTTACTGACCGCAGGCAGATTTTCCTGCCCAAAACAGTTCCATAGATTTGGGCTGTGCGGTCTGTCAATTTCACACTGAAAAAATGACTAAGTCCCATTCGAACGTGCGTTTGAATCTTCGAACGGGACTTAGTCTCTGTGGCTGAAAACTCAGTGCAGGAGAAGGTAAGGGTCAGCGGTGTTTGTCGAAATGTGTAGCCGATTTCCGTTCCATGGATTTGGCTACACATACCGCTGACCTCGTTCGAAAGAACAAAGATGGCCGCCGCCACGTGTTCGTTTGTCGAATGGCGACTACTTCGGCACTTCGGCTGCATCCGAAGTGCCAATTTAAAGCTGCAGAACTGCTCCAATACACTGTAAAGGTGCAGCAAGAGTCTTTTAAAATCCAATCTGCTAAAATAGTCTTTAACAGGCAATATCTTCCAGGGTCCATAGTCTTAAAGGGGCATTGTTTACCAAAGTCACAATATGCCCACAGACGGTTCTTAAAGGGCCATACACAGTCCAATAAAAGTCCATAAGCCCAAATGTTGTTTTAAAAGGGTACAATCTCCCAGGGCCATAGTCGCAGGGCAGGAGGCTTGCAAGCAGGCCTCTCCAGGACCAAGTGGCGAAGGGCACTTCATCACACCAAACAAGGGAAACGCAGAGAGCGCC